TCATTATTTAAACAATAGTGTGTTACATAAGATAGGTAATAATTATTGTTTTTATTTACAGTCCCACTTTGACATTTGAATAATAATAATTGAGCTTATGTATCTGTCAGTGTAAATTTAAATTTGCCTAAAATATTTTTTTTCATGTACGATACTAAAAAAATTTCAAGTATTTTTTGTTAAAATATTATTTGAAAAATTAACATTTTATTTTTTTTTAATTTAAAAGTTGACCGTTTGTCAATGGAATAAGATTCAACAAACTGCAAATGTTTTTTTGGCAAAGGTTCAAGATTAGTTCTTGTTCTAAATGATTAAATAAAAAAAATCAATTTGAAAATTTTTTATACTTTTGCACAAGTAGGTAGGTAATTTTTTTTCAATTTGGACCTTTTTTGTTTTTCAATATTTCTCTAGTACAGAAAGAAAATTTGAACAATGAGAACTGATTCAGCAAAAACTTTTAAAAGCAATACATTTATAAGTGTTTTAATATGAAAACTTTTGTACTTACGCTTGAAAAAAAATATGTTTCCATGACACTAAGCGACCTTTTAAATACACATTGACAAGTTGTGGCTTTGTGGCGCTTTAGTCACGGGCTGAAGTTAGTTTTAAGTTAGTTGACAGTCATCAAATGTCATACAATCGTTAAAATAAATTGCCTTTCTTGTAAAATAATACTAAATGTGAAAATTATTTTATTATCTCAATACAAAAATACAAAAGTATTAAATAGTTTCTCAACGCCAATATTTGAAAAGTTTATATGAACATTGTACTGACCTTTTAATTTCGCCGGCAGTAAACTATAACTTAAATTCGGGCACGGACTCCACTGTAAAGTGCTCATAAAACATTTTCACTTTCACTGTGAAACACTGTCAATTTTCAAGAAATACATTTCGATTTATAACCTTTATAATTGTGTTTATAAAATGTAAAAATTTGACATTTGACGGTGACACACAGATTCCCCTATTGTTTCATGTATGGCGCTCTATGCAAATTTTTGATTTAAATCATTTTAAGATAATAATAAGTATTTGTCGTTTATCAAACTTGATACATAATATACTATTAGCGTGATATAAAATAATTTCTCAATTAACCTAATTGGTTCCAAGAAATTCACAAATTAGATACATAATAATATGCTAATAAATAATTGTTATTTAGCAACCACGATTCTGAACGCTAAATAATTAGATAGTATTTTTTTAGCCCATGAATTGAATAACCGTGGGAATTTTTTTATTGGGTCAATATTATTAAATTTTTATTAAATAGAATGCATTTTTATAGTTTTTTAGTTGCTTTCATTGAAATTCTATAAAGGATTATGGCAATTGTGTTACGTTAAAAAAAATATATTAACTCAGTCTAGCAATGAGAAAAATGTTTCAACACATAATAGGTAATAAATAAAAATACATTAAATATTTTCCATTTTTTTATTACGAGTAATAATGTGAACCTTGAATTTTTATTTGTGTTTTTTAAATATTTAACTATATTTTGTTTTTCAAGGAATATAAGATATAGTAAATAATCGATTCTAACCTTCTCTTTATTTAAGTTTTTGGCGCCGGGCCTAAAACATGAAAATAAATACACACTTAAATTTAAAAAAAAAAATTAAACCCAAACTTAAACGTAATAAGTAATAAAAAATGTTGTCGCATTTCATATTGGTAATTCCAAGTAACGACATTTGTTTATTGATTCTAAGCAAAGTACATACGTAATTCGAAAAAAGCTAATAAATTTTAATGTTCATTAAATAAAGCCATAAATAATAAAAGATATACTTCTCAGAAATGTAACAACAATCCTAACGATAAATGAAATATTACTTAAACATTTTTTCACATCGATTAATCTTATAATACATGTGTCAATAATAAATTAACCCAAGGCATTTCAAATTCGAAACCAACCAAAAAAATTTGCATACACAATATGTAAAAGATTTACCATATTAAAAATGTAAAAGTCAGTTACCTTGGAAACAAAAATACCTATTTATTATTGTTTGTGGTAGACGTCCGCCAGGTGTAAAAAAAAACAAAAAGCTAGACACGCTGGGAACAGATGCTAGGATCTTTAAAAGTTTTCTAGGTATAAAAAAATGTATATTCAATTTGATTATTAAGTAACAGCCTTAAATGCAGCTGTTTTATATATTCGTGAACAAATGTAGGTATGTATTAGACTGGGTCAAAAAAATCAACTATTTTTTTTAAAAAGTATATCGAAAATATGGTTTGGGGCGACAAAAAAAAATTATTGTGAAAGTTTGAGTCCATAATATTATTATTAAGAGGTTTATCATCGCAATTTTAATTTTTTTCCCTCATCAAGTTTTTGTCTCAGAACTCCCAAACCATTGAGTTTAACAAAATTTACTTGAAAATATTTTTTTAAGAAAATTATTTGCTCTACAAAAAAGGTTAAATAATTTTTTTTTGTTTTAGACAAATGCATTCTTTTTGCGTAATAATAATACTTTATATATGTACCTAAATAAAAAGTAATTCAATTGTCCTCGTAATATAATAGCAGGTGTATTATTACTTAAACAATAAAGAATTGTCTGAGGATTTGTGATATAAAGTTAAGTATTGGGTAATTTCATAAAAATAATTAATTTTTCTGAAAAAATATTATAATAAACAATAGGTTTTCTAAATAATTCTTAATTCATTATAACCGTGAATTAGATTTTATACCTAACTTAAAATTATCCTCTATTAAAAATACTAGAAATCTTCTCTAAAATTCTACAAAAAAAGTAAACCATCCACCATAAAAATGCTTCAGAATTGCCTATACAAATATTCTAAGCATTTCAAAGTTGTTATTCAAAACTAAATCTCGATTAAATCGAGAGAAGATTAAGCACACACGTAACATTTAATTAAAGAACCTTGTCTTATTCCTCTCTCTTTTTAAAGAGAACTGTATAACCTTTTATACCTGGTTAAATGTCAGGGGTGTGTATACAATATAATGCATTACAAAGTTACAATAGAACTCATCCTGATTGTTGCGAAAAACTCAAATAGCATACAGCGTACGGCATTTCTTTAAATTTATGTTTTAAAATTCCTTTGGAGATTTTGTTCCCTAAAACATAACATTAGCATAACATCGTAATATGTTTCCGGCGTGCCTTGATATATCGGCAATTTTATGTCGTTTCGATTTGCACTTTCCACGGATTTACATTTTTATGTAACACCAATGCTTACAGGATGTCATTATGAATATTAAAGCGATTTGGATTAAATTATGATTTCCTAAATATTATTTAATGCAAATGTAGGGTTCGGCATATTAAGAGATATAAGATATAAAAATTGAAAACATTTGGTTAAAATAAGTTAGGTAAACAAAAATCTATTTCAACGATTGTGTCATATTATGATTTAGACACAATAGTTTTGCTTTTTAAATAAAAATTGTATTTCTACTGTTTTTAATTAATTTTGGATACCTTTTTGATGTGTGCGTTTGGTGAAGGAGTTTCTTACTTTTTTTTACTTCCTAAAGGCGGGTTTTAAATGGGCGAATCTCACGAAATGTCCCCCGATGGTGTTACCCCGTGATATTTAATCAAAAAAATGAGTTTGACCTACACTTTTATTGTGTTTTGATTTTTCATAATTAAGTAGATATTACAGCTCAGGTTCCACATTTTAAACCGCATTTAATTATTTTTTACAATGTTTTAAAAGTCTAAAACCTATCCTCCGTGACTGTTACTCTTTCTAGGTTAACCTATACGTTTTCAAATATCTGAGGTAGTAAAAGCATATATGCTTTTATATTTTAGTATACTAAAAAAATATCAGTTCCTTAAGTAAATTAAACACATCCAAAGCAATCGAGTTAAATATAAAATATTATTAAAAATTAAAAGAAATAATTTTTATAACCATTTATGTAGGTGTTACAAAAATTGATTCTATCCTCAGTGAATCTGTTTTTGCTTTAAATTTTATGCAACGGATGGCACTTTAATCATTTTAAATAAGCAAAAACCTCTGTTTACGACATTATAGATGCATGTGATTCCTGAAGGTCAGTTAGAATTTATATGCAGATGAGAGTGTTGCTGTTTTATAATTCAAAAGTTTAAGTTCATTAATATGCCATTTAAAAACCTATACACCGTGATGTGTAATATCTCCATAAGTAGATTGTTTTTATAAATATTTTATGTATGTGCAATTGTATTTTTAAAAAATATTATGGTGAAGAATAACTTATTTCAAATATACAAAGGGATTTAAAAAAAAACATACTAAATCCTAACCTCCGTGAAGCTCTAATATTTAAAATGTATGATTTCTAAAAATTCTTGAATTAGTGCAGAACCACTTAAGTTATGTTATTACTAGAGCTGGTGGCTTCCCAAAAACCCCATTCTAGACTAACAGTGAAACAACCAAAAATAAAAAAAACTATGATACCAGAAGCCAGATATAAAGCACACAAAACTTAATTAAAAAACTGTGTAATATTTGTCTCTGTGGGAGGTTTTTAGTGCTAATGACTTTTTAATGAAAGAATTAGGCAGCGTGAATTTAATACACACGCGACTCCAATATAGCGGAACTTGATTGAACCCGTTCGATTTTAGATGCAAATTAAAATTTTCGCCGTCGTATCCGGAAAATTTGCTCGACTAGCTGTATAATTTCAATCGCAATACAAATCAGCCGGGTAAAAATTAATTTCTCTTTTTATTTTGTTGACGTGGTACTGTATGTAAACAATTACAATTGTAAATGTTGTGTGACGACTGCTAAGGCTATTACATACTAGAATCGAAAGTGATTTGTCGAAAACGTGCAATTAATTAATAATGCCTGTTTTGTTGTGTAAAATAGAATTAAAATGTCGTTATATCTTGAAATGGTTATATTATTTACTTAATAATTTATTCAGTCGGTTATAGAAATATTTTATAAAAAAAAAAATTTTTTTTTTAGGCTGTCAAGTTGGAAAGCGTCCACCCAGCAAGAACACGTTATTTGGTTGTCGTATCGAGACTGGGGTCTAGAGGCGAAGAATCGTGTCTTTTGGGGATAGATTGCAATGAAAAAACTACAGTAGGATTGGTTTTGAAAGTTCTAGCCAACACTTCCATCACACTGGACGGAGACGGGTAAGAACCATTACTTTATCCATTTTGCGTTCATAATGACTTCATTATAACACCGCTTTCGGTCCCATACATGTCATATACAGCTTTCAAAAGCTATCAAATTGTTTTTTGTAAATTAATGTGTTAATTTTGAGGTGTCTTCTTACTTTTAAAAATGTCTCCGACTGATGTTACTCTTTGTACTTTACTTCTTATGACTTTTAAAACCCTTGCCACGTAATACTGTGACCGTCCATCCTGGATTAAATTAATAGCTCTGGCAACATCAGTCGGAGACATATCCATTTTATAAAGCAAGAAGACAACCCAAAATTTAAACATTAATTTGCAAAAAACAATTTGATAGCTTTTGAAAGCCGTGTATGACATGTCCAAGTATGGGATGATTCAACAAAACTGTCACTGTCATTCTCCATAGCCTATGGATGGACCATAGCAACCTTAGTTCTTCATACAGAAAAATATTGGAAATTCCAATGTTTTTTAAAAAATCCATATTTTCCACAAAAATAAATATATCGAGGTGAACCAAAAACATAACTGTTAAGAATAGATGTGACTTGATAAATAAAACTTAATTTAGAACAATATACGGTTTTGCCACTCTACAGAGTGTCTTAAACTTATGGTAAAAAACATCTTTTTGTTTAAACCTGTATACTATTAACGTACGTCTATTTTTTAGTATTTTTTTTTTAAATGTGAGCGATTGTCCATTAATTTATCTACAATATTCTTTAATATTCGTTTAAATCCGACATCAAATAAAAAAGTTATTTGCGATTGAAATTCATCGAAAATTTGTGTGGATCGATTATTTTGCACGTGAGTGTATTACCATCTTTTTCCCCCGAAACAACTTCTTCATCTTTGGAAGTCTGTAGAAAAGCATTTAAATAATTGTTGATATCATAATTTTGTCCAATAAACTGTCATAATAATAATTTTCAAGATGGTTTAATGACGAAAATTGTTGATAAAAATTACCATTTCATAAGAATGCAGCATGAACTTTAGACTTGACTGGAGAGCAGATGTGCGCGGTAAATAATAAAGACGTTTTGTTTATCGAACTTATATCGCAATAGATACGATTTATGGGCTGCATTTTCGACCAATCAACCGCATTATTATTGTGGTTGTGCATTTGACATTTGTTCTAGTTGCTGTACGTTGACTCGTTGCTCGCTTTTTGTCGCTTCGATGATACTGATGAGGAACAATACGAAGTTCGTCTTTCAAAACGTACAATATACAGGGTGAGATTTTGTCTAAAACGTTTTTTTATATTTGTAATAGATGGCGATGTAATGAAAAAAAATCAATTTTGTTCGATTTTTCTTCTGTATACGATTCTTCAATAATTTTTTAATAAAATACTTGGTTTTATTTTTTAAATTTATTTATTTATTTTTTAAAATTAATTAAAGCAATAAAATCGTTTCTATTTTTTCTTCCACTGTTAAAAAATCCATTATGAATAACTGCTTAACGAAATTTTGCAAATTAATCTTCAAACTAAATTGATTAAATAATGATAAACTATAATTATTTTTATACCTCAATTAGGATTAAATTAATTAATTAAATGAGGGATTTTTATTAAAAATAGTACAGTAATCCTTTAAATTAAAGGATTTAATGCTGGCAGGTATCAAGTGACCATGGTGCGCAATTGATAATTATCACCGAATGAAATAATATATAAAACTGAAACCAAAGGAAACTTAAATATTAATGAAAAAATCGTGAGTACTTAAAAAAATCAGATTTAATTTAAAAAGATAATTATTACCAAAAAAAGTACTATTTTTTTAGAAAAATTATTGCAGAATCGTATAAGAAGAAAAATCGAACAAAATTGATTTTTTGTATTACAGCGCCATCTATAACAAATATGAAAAAATGTTTTAGACAAAATCTACCTATTTTTAGTCGAATGATCCGAATCTGCAATAATAAATAGGGTGTTCCATTGTAAATTTTAAAGTTACCTCCTGTTCCCCCTATAAGGAGGAGAGTATGAGGACCAATTTTAGTACTGATTGATTTCCCCCCTCGAATCATTTAATTATATATATATATTATGGTTTCCATAAGATTAATGCCTAGTTTTAAAAAAAGGTTTATTGTGAACTTTGGCACCTTTAAATATGTCGACCACTTTCAAATCCACACTAAACACATTTTTTTGGATTTTTTTATTTTTTTTTATATAAGCGAAGAAAAGTTATGAATTTTAATAAAAACATGGTGATTTTTAAATACTTAAAACTTTTCTAAAAATTTACTATGCAAGATATTTTTTTCAAATTGTCTGTTTTAAAGCGTACTTTTAGAAAAAAACAAACAAAATATTGTAATTTTTAAGTGTATTGAAAAAAGTTAAAAAATTGATGACCTTACTCTTTTAAGTAGAATCTGCTATAACCTGGAATTTTTTTAACATACAAATTTCAGTCAAGTCAGAAGGGGTCGGGTTCAAAAATGGTCGACTTGGAGTGAAAATAATTGAGGTTATCTATCTATCTGTTCGTTAAATGATAATTTTATTTTATTTTCTGTGTAAAGGTCTAAAAACTTAAAACACAAAAAAATATGGTTTCTCCTTACAAGCTTTTTATATTAGACTTAAAAAAAATATTTAACAATTTTTAATTATGCAAAAACTACAATTGTATTTTTTATAACAAGCAGAAGAAATTATGAAAAGTGACTTTTCTTCGAAAAATTGAAAATAAATATTTTTACAAGTATAGTTAAGTCCATTCGTGGACACACTGTATATAAGAGCTAAATAGCGTTAAACTGACAGATAGTTAACCTCAATTATTTGTAATAAAATGTCAAAGTGGGACTTTTGGGTGTGGAACATATTACTTTAGTTTTCACAGTCTTTAATTATAACATATCTTTTCGAAGTTCTAATTAAACAAATCACGTTATGCTCTATTACACTTCCTGGATATTTTTACTCTAATAGAGCATAATGCTCTTACAGCTGGTTAAATCCTGTCAAAACAAATTAAAATTATCGATATTGCATAATAGTTCCTTAATTAGAACACCTGTTTTCCTGCAAGATAACATTACGAAATGATCTCGATAATTTTAATTATGACATTTATGCACATTTCATTTTTTATCATCGAGTCGATTTTATTATTAATGCGTTTCGCAACACAACGGTTCTTGTCGCATCTGGGCCGGCCGTGCCTGTGCGCGATCGCTTGGCCTTCTTCGATTTCGATGTCCTCCGGTCGCCATACAGTCTAGTGTTGCTTGATTTTAATCTTTAATGTTTGCTAATTGAGTTTCCTAGTTGAAATGATGAAAGTTTCTTCGTTGCAGAATGCAGAAAATGTTAATATTGTTTAATTATCTATTTTGCGTTCATAATAACTTCATTATAACATCACCCAAAATTTTGATTTTATAGTGTGGCTATACTTTAAACAGCATAATATTTTTACGATATTTCTAGTACTTACGAGACTTTTCTGGCAATAAATTTTGTTTAACACCAAATAAAATCCTTTTTTTCTTCTTTAACATTAACAGCCGCTTATTGTAAATAAGTAAATTAAGGACGGCATGGCGAATCGATTTTGACATTAACTGTCAAACCAATGACTGTGATGCCAACTGTCTAAAGTAAAATTCGGCCAAACTAAATTTAAGGTATAAAATTGATTTTTTTATAGAATTTTTGCAAAATAGATACTATTTGTGCGCAAATGCAAAATATTTTTTGTTGTGGGTAATATTACGATGTATTAATTATTTTTTTATTTTCAGGGGTTTCAGTGTGACAGTATGCGAAAGACATCACATTTTCAAGCCCGTTTCAGTACAAGCTATGTGGTAAGTGAAACACGTAAAAAAAGTAGTAAATTTGTTTATTTTCCTGTTTTTACAACATAAACAACTTTATTAATAACCCGTGTGGTTTACATGATGCAAGCAAAATAAATTAAACATTTTTTAATTCGGGTTTCTTCATCGAGTAGGCAACCAGGCCTACGTCGCACACTGTGCCAAGTCCTTAAGTCAAAAAAATAATTTTGAAAAACATAATATTTATTATTAAATATTTGTTAAATTTATTTTAAATTTATACTATATTTTATCTTGTTAGGAACCAAATAATTTCATAAGTATCTAGTAACTAATTTTTTAGGGGTCGCTCACAAATTTGGAAAATTCGGTTTTTTATGTAAGTTTCAGGATAAAATATGAATTTTTAAAGGTCGTTTATAACTTTTTAAAATTTTAAATTTAATTAAAATATAATTAGCTAACAATGTTTATACTTAAAAAATAGTCGTTGTTTTGAAAGGCAATAAAAATCTAACAACTTTTTAAAAATAAAAAGTTTATTTTTTTCAACTTTTTTCAAAAATATAATTTTGACACATATTTTCCCATTTTGGTACACTGTGCGGCGCGCGTCTATAAAAAGACGCATCGCGTCGCGGCGCGTCCTTTTAAGGGTACCTATTGGGAATATTTGACGAGTTCGTATTTGGCAATGGATGATATAACAGAAACGCAAAAAAAATGCCTGAAGGATAAGTGTTTTGGGTATTACTTTCCCACTGAAAATGAAGTTTGTTTTTACTGTTTAATTCTTGTTCCGACGTTTAATCACAAAATTTTAATCTACTGGTAACATGTAATTTTAGTTTGTTAATTTTATTTTGTAAAATTTTAACCTTTTTTTTAGAAAAATATTTTACCGAAAGTTTTTTTAAGATAATATGCAATTTCGTAAGCATTTTGTTAATTTTAAAGGTTACAGATTATTCGGTTAACGTTTAACAAATTATTTCTATAAATACAGGTTATTTTATTTCAAATATTAAGACAAAATCATTGAAATATATTTTTTCTACGACCACTATGTAAAAGTCACATTTCGTAATGTTGCTTAGAAAATTAATCTTTTCATTGGCAAGGCAAAACACGAATGTAAAGTGACATTTCTGTGTGAAAAGAAATTGACAGCATCGTTTGACATTCGTTTAAAAATTTATATTGTATTCGTATATGTATGTCTAAATATCATTTAGAACACAATTCATTGATTTGTATAATAAATTCTAATTTTTAGTGCCTTTATTTAAATTAATAAGATAAGTTTATTGATTTTAAGTAACTTATACCTTAAAAATTAAAAGAATAAGATGAAAGTAATTTTAACACGTTTTTGGGTTATTTTGTTTTGTATTTGAATATAATAAAAAATGAAAGGGTCGTAGAAAAAACATTGTGTTTCACTTGTGAAAAAAGCTTTCTTCAAGCTCGTGTTAATGCACACTCGGTCTGACGGCCTCGTAAGCAACTTTAACACTCGCATTTCAACAAATGTAAAACAAATAACAAATTTTCATCATTTTTGGATGGTATAAACAAATATAGTAACTTTTATTTTTAACATGGCGGCCATACTGCACTTGCTGAGGTGGTGATGTTATCTGGCCATCAAGGTTCTGCGATTTAACGATTCTAGACTTTTTTATGCGTTTTTCTGAAATGTCAATAAACCACGATATAAAGAAAAATATTACATACACATATTATATAGAAAACTATTGAAAAAGTCTTGTTTTTTTTAAATTTTAAAATCAATCGAATCTCATTAATAATATTTTAGCTGTTTGCCAAAATTTTATAAATAGAGTCAAGGTGTGCGACCAATCAACAATGGCATTTGATTTACAAAGTATATTCGTAGGAAGTTGCCAATTATCATGGTCCACATACGTTTTCCAAACTCTACATAGGCGCCAATATTTGTTTACTAATTAATCCAAAAGATATAATTGCGTAAATTATTATTACCGTTTAGGTTATGCCTCCTTTATTAATTATCAAATCAAGATCAGCTTCCCACATTTACCAAATAAAAAGGATTGAAAAAAATGTCCCATTTTTCCATAGACTTAACCTTGACAAATTCCGCAAAAATTAAACTTGTCTGATTTCGACCGAGATTTAACAATTATGACGATATGTTTATTAACGTTCGAACAAAAATGTGTAATGGGTTATGTAAGCTTCAATAAACAATTCGCATCTGGTGTCTGCATTACGTAACAGTTCAAACATTTCGCCAAAGAAAAATATGCATTAAACATTCGTTATTATCGAAGCCATAATTCATTTGCATGGCACAAAAATATAACGCTAACTCATAAATAACCGCTGCTGTCGATACTGCAATGTAGCCCGAGGCTGTTGGGTTTAGAACGCACCAAGAGCCTTATGCAGTCACTAAGGTCAGTGCCGAAGACTCTTATCTTAACACTTTCTATTCCATCGATAGAGACGAACCAAAACTAGGTGGGCGAGTCATCTAAATATGGTAATCAAAATGGAAATGGGCTTGTACGTGATAGGACAAATAAGAGATTCAATATGAAACACCTTTAAAGGAACTTCTCGGAAAAAACTGGATTTCACTTAACTGTGCATCATCCAGACAGTTTTTTCAGTCGGTTTTCAGGAGACACAGTCGCCGTGAGAACGGCGCTTCAGACTGCAACTGAATTAATAGAAACGACCGTTTAATTAGCCGAGGCGTGCCGCAAGGCGCCGTTCTGCGACCCTTTGTTATAGGGTTTGCATGTTCGTAAAAGTCGAGAGACAGAGGATTGATCGAGTTCTTGAACCGAGCGAGTCAATTTTTACAGACGGTGTTCATTTTAAGTTTCTCATTATTAATAAATCGTTGCTCTATGGAGTCTGTAGTTCATGTAATTATAAAAGTAATCACAAGAAGATTATGCAAACACATTTATTAGCCTTTAATGGCTCGTAGCCTTCAATGCACTGCCAAAATTATCTTGTTAATTTTGTCAATACAATCTTCGATAAATTTATATTAATGGTATACATCCAAGTATGTTGAGAACGGTTCTGGCCTTCTCCATACCAAAAACAGTGCGGTATTGCGCGTCTACTTAACTCGCGTATTTCCTAATAAGTCGATGTGTTGTATCCACACACGACATTTTTAAGGGCATCGCCAATCACGGAAATTGAATTTTTACGATTTGCAAAAAATCGCACACAATCTGGGTTAATAACAGGCGAAGTCTAGAGTAGTAGCAAGATTGGGGAAAGTGCGCACGACTTGGCAACATCGTAAATTAGTGGTACCATTGAGAAAGCATGGAAGTAGTGGTACGGCGTACAGAATGTTTGCCCAAATATGGTCAGGATATGCACCGGTGTTTATCAGGTCTAGTCTGTAAAACTAAGTTTTTTGCATAACTTTTCAAAATTAATGCCCTTATAAACATAGGTTAAACCCTGGTTGAGGGGAGTCCGGATTGTACTTGGTTTTGGGTCAGTTAAACCAACTTTTGTCCCTTCTAGTCCTACACTTCACTAGCCTAAATCGGGCGTGTGGTCTGCCCGGCGACAAAATTCAGTTTTGTCAGTTTAAGGGTATTTTAGGACTTTTTAAAACATTTTTTAGATAAATCAAGACGAAAATTAGGGATTTGGCAAAATGGAAAAATATCTTGGTTGTGGTCGATTCCAAATTGGTATCGCATATAGGTGTATCGATATGGCTCGACGTGTACCATTAACGTGTTGGTGTAGCGAGGAGGTCGGCCGACAACAATTTCTGCCCGTTTCTCTAACCATGTTCGGAACCTTTCAATGACTACGGTAACCACGCACTCACTCAGATCAGTCTTAATACTTACCTTAACGCGACGAGATGTCCTATGCCATCCGCTTAGCCTCGGTACGATCGACTTGACGCGATAGTTTACCTAGAGTTGCTTATCAAAAAAAAAATTAAAGAGTGCCTTTATTTTACACACTGTTTTTTACTTGTGTCCGTTCCTGGTTAGTCGAACAGATTCTACAAGTGATAATGGTTGTTAACAGAAAATGCAGTTTCATCAGGAATTTTGCCATTTGGGACGCTGAAAGGTAAACCAACAGCCAGAGCTGGGAGTATCTTAAATAGTTACCCAAAAGTATCTTAGATACTTTCATATGGTATCTTAGATACTTTCGGATAGTATCTTAGATACTTTTTAAAGTATCTTGTAACTAAAGATACTTTTAACTCAAAGTATCTAGTTACCAGAAGTAACTAAGTAATTTTGTTTAAAGTATCTATAGATACTTTTCAGAAGTAACTTTCTGAACTCTACCAACAGCCCTATAAGAATCTACAAGTCGTGCCATTTACAGCACTTGTGGCACACCTCTAGCCACTAAATATCTTATACCATCACGATCCACTGTGGGCCCTATGCCCAAACTAGGTTGCAATAAGTCATTATTGAAAATGTATAATTTGCAACTATTGTTTTATTAAAAACATATTCAAACTTGTAAAAACATAATTGCTTTTTGAAAATACTCTACGAAGACTTTTTTATAAATGCCCAATGTCAGATCTTTAAAAAAAAGTCTATTTTTAATGCAATCGTTTTAATTAAAACTACGATTTTTGCGAATTTTTTTATAGCTTAGAGGGCCGTGAAAAGCAAAAGTCGCCTTAAACATTTCATAACTGACATTAGACCTGTCAATTAGTTGTGTTGGGTACATAAAATTATAGAAAATTCGTGTTTTTTTTTTGTTTTTGGCAGGAACTGATAAGGTAATTACCATGAATATTTAATTTTTTAAGTTTTGCAGAGTAAAAAAATAGGAAGGCCAACGAATGCCAAGCCAAAATATATATTTTTTATTAGACAAAGATGTAGACTACTAAAAACTGTTAACCAAAAAAATCGCAAAAAATCGCGAAACTTATCCCAGTAAACCTCTGAGAAAAGAAAATATTAACAATTAATATGCATCTTAAGTTGTTTATCGCACGTATTGCT